AATACACAAACATGAAGCTATTACATGTTAATGTTAAGAACTACAAACACCAAGATTATATAACAATCTACAAGTTATATTTATTGTGTATTACCCACCAAATTCTTATTCCAGCACTCTATCTAGGCACTCTGATGTCACAGTAGTCAGGAAGATTTGAAGAGGCTGTGATCACTAAACCAAACAGCACCCTGAGGAATCTGTTAGGACCAAGATCCTTTCTAAGCAGGAAGACTGACTACATAGTAGGCAAGGCCAGGCTAACTTTATTGGTTTGGAGTGGAAAGGAAAATAGGTATTATTTTCAATTGGGTTTATGAGTGCCCCTTCATGAAGAACACGGTGACATTTTTACCCTCAGGAAGCCTATAATCCAGGCATGGAAACAAAAGCAAAGTGCTTAGAAACCCACACCTGAAACCTATTATGTTCATGTTGACCAAAGTCACCCCAATAAATTTAATTTAAAAAAAAACAACAACTAGAAAAAGCAACATATCAACAAATTTAGCACTATAATCCCAAAATGAAGCATACCTAGACAACCAAGAAATAAAATAAAAAGTCTTAAGAAAGTGATTTGAAGGGTGAGTTGAAATGAACCTGAAACAATTTAAATGAGGGAAAAGTGCAGGTCAGGCTGGCAGTAGCAAGAGCTTGAGTGAAGGTGAGAAGCAACAAGCTGGTCACATTTTAAACTTGAGTACATCTAATTACCTCAACAAAAAGAAGAAAAAATAAAAGGGCAATTGTTACCACATTTGCTCAAAAAGATTCCCACCCATCCATTTAAAATTAAAATAAAAAAACCTCCCTAGACTCTCTATAAAAAAAAAATTGAGATTCAGAAATGTTCCTTAATTGTAGTCTCCATTAGAAAGTTTCAAAAGAGCCACAAACCAAGATTAGGTACATATTTTGTCAATAATTAAAATGTAAAAAATGACAAGTGTTGGCGAGGATGTGGAGAAAATGAACTCTAGTGCAGTTGGTGGGAATGCAGACTGGTGCAGCCACTGTGGAAAGCAACATGGAGTTACCTCAAAAACTTAAAAACAACTGCCTTATGACCCAGCAATTCCACTTCTGGGAGTATATCCAGAGAAACCCAAAACACTAATTCAAAATACATAGACACTCCCATGTTCACTGCAGCATTATTTACAATAACCAAGATTTGGAAGCAGCCCAAGTGCCCCTCAGTAGAAAGATAAGTGAATAAAAAAAGCTGTGGTACATTTACACAATGGACTACTACTCTGCCGGAAAAAAAGGAAATCTTACTTTTTCTGACACCATGGATTGCCTTGGAGAGTACTATGCTAAGTGAAATATACCAGTCAGAGAAAGACAAGTAAGTACCATATGATTTCACTTATATGTGAATCTAATGAACAAAATAACAAACAAAACAGAAACTGACAGCTGTCAGAGGGGGGACTGGGGAAGCTGGGTGAAAAAGATGAAGGGATTAAGAAAGAAAGAAAATTCCGACAATAAAATAACAATAATAAAAATGTAAAGAAATTTTTGTTTGAAATTTTTCTAAAGAGGGTTAACAAATTTATTCAGTAGGGCTGTATGGTGAAAAATTACCTAGCATGTTGATGCAAAACAAAAATTACTTCAACAGATAGAAATCGGGCGCAAGTTCCACTACTAATTTAGCAGCAATTTAAAATTATAAAAGTGCTGTAACTTCTTATCTTCAAACTACCATCAACCTCCCCCAATCACCACCACTGATAAGAAACTTTTATTCTTTTCATTTTCTATTGATTTTTCAGACAGGGAGAGGGAGGGGAAAGATGGGGAGAGAAATACCCGTGCCTCTTCTCCTGAATAGGGGTTGAACCTGCCACCTTTTGGTATACAGGATATGCCAAACAACTGAACACACTGGCCAGGGCAGAAACTGTTGTTTTTCTTAATGACCTCAAAATAACTAATGAAATTTTCTTAAAATAATATCTTGCACTTATTTAGCTGTTTGTCGTTTTTCACAGCCATTATATTCACTGAGTCTCACAACCACCCAGCGAGGTACCCGGTTTTACAGATAAAGTACTGTAGACCAGATAAGGTAAGTGAATAGCTCAAGGTCACACAGGTACCTACTGTTAAGGTATGAATTCCTAAACCAGTATGTGTCTGTTAGGATGAAGTCTTTAAAATAGGATAATAAAACCTTATGGAGATAACATAAATTCAGTAATCTTAAAGTTAGAATGGAATGGTAAACATTACTTCAAATTTACTTGGGAAAAAACATTGATTTTACCCTGGCCCAGCATCCCCTTCATTTAAAAAATATAATTATTTTAGTTTAGCACCTTCTAGAACTCTAACTGCCAAAAATATTTTAAAACTTTTAGAAAGTAAATGAAAAACTAAAATAAAAAGTCTGTTTATGGACACAAACTAAATAGTAAATGTCAGCTGAGCAGATTTGCCACTCAAACTCCTGAAAAACTGGGGAGCAAATGGAAAAAATGATAATCTTAATTACAGTTATTCAATTCTTACGGATACTGGCACATTCATAGAAAGGCAGTTATGGAAAAAGCCCACAAACCCCAATTATGTTAATATGCTCTCTTAAGCATAAAATAAAAAAAAAACTCCCTAAACAATCTCACAAAGATGTTATAAAAGCCACATTAATTCAATATTCCTGGGGCTGAATATGGAGCAGGGAGTTTCAAAAACATTAGAAACTGTTTATTCCAAAATTCACACTTAATTTTAACCTCCTTGCATGATGTAAATATTAAAATAAGCCTCACTAACACCCATTGTAATTTATTGTCTCTAAACCTCTGATAATTCCACTCCTCAACCCTGTGTCCCTTCTCCAAGGCCCTATCCGCCGTGTACATGCGACACGCAGGCCTCATATATAGGCCTCTTGCCTTTTTCTCTAACAACTAGGACCTTTGTTCCAAGACTCGGTTTTTCACCCCAGTCAATAGCTCTTTCAACTTTCTATCCCGTATATATTTTTTGTTTTGTTTTTAGAGAGGAGATTCTGAGCCTCAACTTCACGGGTCTTTAAAAAAATGAAATGTGAAAAATATCTAAAGAGACTGGAAGGGACTTGAAAGTTACAGGCACCACTAAAGGGCCTACAAAACAGAGTAAAGCCCGGGGATCGGGTGATTTGGCAGCCCAGGCAGAGTCAGGAACGCCAACTAGGGAGGGAGACAGCAGGGGCGCAGGGGGAAGTCCACTCAGGACGATTCACTGCTTTTAAACGCCCCCCAACCCCCCCAAGCACACACGGATGTTTACACACTGGTACAGTCCCTCCTCCCCTCAACTAACGAGGCAATTAAACTGTACCCACCGCCGGGCACGCTGAAGCTGAAGCTAAGCCTCCGCCAGACAAAACGGCCTTATCGCCGACCAATCTGCAAGGGTTTAGGAGCAGCCCCTTCCGTACCCCTCACCACACGGGGGAACCGACTCCCTCCCGCCCCTCCGCAGGAGTTTCAATGTCTAACTTATTTCCCCCCCGTTGGCGTGTGTTTTTAAATCGTCATTAGTTTCTCCAAGAAATTTAGGCTTTCCCTTATTCTGAGGAAGGGAGCGACCCGGAGGCCAGGGTTTGGGGTTTCACAACCTTCGTTATTTGAACTCCCTTCTCACTTGTTTCTGAGGTAGAAACCCACTCACTGTGGAGAAGGGCGGAGGAGAAAGAGGGGAACTGAATGGACAAACGGTATAATACGTTTTATGTAACCCATATATAAATAAATTAATCGCCTGAGTCGCTTTGAATGCTAATACGAACGGAGTGACAATTGGTCCATCTCGCCCCCCGCCCCCCCTCCCCCCAATTCCCGTTCTGGTCTTTTTACAAGGATGCTCCGC